ATCGATTAGATATCTTCTTTTAGTTTATCCAACCATTCCCATGTAGCGCACATATATGTTGCATATTCCAGGCACTCCCTTTGACACTGAAAACCTGAAGATGTCTGCAACTGGGTTTCTGGCTTGTAGCAGTACACAGTCTGTAAGGGAAGGTGTTCACGTAGGCAAATGATTATCATATGATGTCATAAGTGCAATAGAAGTACATATACAAGGTGTCACAAAAGTGCTGGAATCCAGGGATGAGGTCAGGAGACAACCACAGAGAAGACAGTCTTTGAGTTGAGTGTGAGGTCTTGGTAGGAAACACTGGGTGGTGGTGAAGAGCACAGATGCTGCAGCCACACTATCTGGGTTTAAATCCCAGTTCTACTACATACCAGAGGAGGAACCTGAGGCCTGTTATTTAACCTCCTGCGCTTTAGAGCCCTCCCCTGCAGAGTTGGCATAATCACTGGACATGGCTCACAGTACTGAAGTGTGGACTATGTGAGTTTGTAGGTATCATGGCTTTAAGACTGTGCATGTTACATGGAAAGCCCTTGGTCAGTGTTAGCTAGTATGCCAGGGATAGTAGAAAAAGGAAAGCAAGGGGACAAGAAGGAGAGTAGGGCAGGCTTAGATCATTAAAACTGGCATAAGAGGTACGTTTATGTGGAGGGTGGTGGGAAGTGGCAAAGTGAGTGGACAGGTTATGGAGAGAGCCTTATAGGCCACACCATAGAGGCTCACATTTATGAAGCCTCTGGAGAATTTTAAGGTACAAATTCAGGTTGGTATCATAGAAAGACAACTCTGGAGCAGTGGAGAAAGAGTAGAGGCCAGAAGATTAGTTAAGAGGCTACTGAAAAGATGATAAAGGCTTGGCTGAGGGATACGCAGGGGAGAGTGTAGATTCACAATTATTTAGGAGGTAAAATTGAGTTTTGGTGACAAATTAGATTAAGTGGGATGAGGTAGAAGTTGCGGATGACTCTTAGATGTCTAGTTGGGATGATTTGGTACAAAGGCAGAAGGACTCATCAAGATGGAGGTAGAGGCAAACATGGCTGGCCTCCTTGCACAACCACAGCAAAAAATACAACTCCACTACAAAACAGTATCACCCAGAATCATCGGAAAATTGAGCTGTATGGAAGTCTGATAACCAAAGAATTAAAGAAGTCACATTTATCCAGATGGGTAGGAGGGGAGGAGACATGGAAATACAAAGAGAGGTGGAGAGGTACAAAGATGTAGTGATGCAGAATGAGAGGTGCCACACCCACATATGGTGGATAAAAATCAAGGGATACCTCAGGAGTGAGGGATCCAGCCCCACACCAGACCATCCACATCAGAGTTCCAATGCCAGGAAGATAAGTTCCCATAACTTCCAGATATAAAAACCAGTGGGGTTTGGGGTGGCAGAAGAATCAATGGGATTCTCAGGAGTTTCCTCTTAAAGGGCCCACAATGGACTTAGGATTTATGCAAACTCACTCCCTCTGGGCTCAGCTGGAAAAACACTGTGGCATACAGGGAGAAATTGAAGCATCTGACATCAGCAAGTGCTAAGGGACAGTTTCCCAACCCCCACTCCCACCCCCTGGACAAAACTCCAGAAGCCAGGCAGTGCAGTTGTCCCCTTTCTGAGCCTTTTCCCACACAGCCAAAGAGCAGTGACACCATATGGGAGACTCCATCAACCTGGTTCACATGGTTGCCCTGACCTCGTGATTACCTAAGGCTCCGCCCCATCCAATTCACCAGTGCACTTTTCTACATTAGGCCACGCTACCAAGACAGGGAGTCAAAGAAGATGTACTGAATACATAGAAACAAACCCAGGAAGGCTGCCAAAATGAGGAGACAAAGAAATATGGGCCAAATGAAAACACTACAAAACTCCAGAAAAAGGACTAAACAAAATGGAGACAATCTACCAGATGCAGAGTTCAAACACTGGTTATCAGGGTGCTCAAGGAACTCATTGAGTACTTCAAAAGCATAAAAAAAGACCCAGGCAGAAATGAAGGTTACACTAAGTGACATAAAGAAAAATTTACAGGGAACCAACAGTGGAGTGGATGAAGCTGAGAACCAAATCAATGATTTGGAACATAAGGAAGAAAAAAACATTCAATCAGATGAGCAAGAAGAAAAAAGAAAAAAAAAGGAAAAAAACAAGGATAAGCTAAGGAGCCACTGGGACAACTGCAAATGTAGCACATTTAAATCACAGGGGTGTTGCAAGGAGAAGAGAAAGAGCAAGAGATTGAAAACTTATTTGAAAAAATAATGAAAGAAAACTTCCCTACTTTGGTGAAGGAAATAGACATTCAAGTCTGGTAAGCACAGACCCAAAGAGGACCACACCAAGACACATCATAATTAAAATGCCAAAGGTTAAAAATAAAGAGAGAACCCTAAAAGCAACAAGAGTAAAGCAGATAGTTATGTACAAAGGAGTTCCCATAAGACTGTCAGATGATTTCTCAAAAGAAATTTTGCAGGCTAGAAGGGACTGGAAGGAAGTATTCAAGTGATGAAAAGCAAGGACCTACAACCTAGATTACTCTATCCAGCAAAGCTATCACTTAGAATGGAAGAGCAGATAAAGAATTTCCCAAACACAGTAAAGCTAAAGGAGTGCACCATCACCAGCCATTATTATATGAAATGTTAAAGGGACTTATCTAAGAAAAGTAGATTAAAACTATGAACATTAAAATGGCAATAAATTCACAACTATCAACAACAATCTAAAAAACAAACTAAGCAAACAGGAAGAACAGAAACAGAATCATAAATATGGAGATCATTTGGAGTGTTACCAGTTCAGAGGGGGAAAGGGGAAAAAAGGGGGAAAGGTGCAGGGATTAAGAAGCACAAATTGGTAGGTACAGAATAGACAGGAGGATGTTAAGAACAGTATAGGAAATAGAGAAGCCAAAGAATTTGTATGCATGACCCATGGACATAAACTAAGGAAGAGGATTGCCAGAGGGAATGGGGGTACCGGGTGGAAGGGGACAAAGGGAGAAAAGATGGGACAACTGTAATAGCATAATCAATAAAAATATTTTTTTAAAGGCAGAAGGATAAGCAAGTTTGCAGGATAAGGTTTTGGATTTGTCAAGATTGACAGGCCTCTGGAACGACCAAAATTAGTGTTTAGGTCTGTCACTCAGGAGCTGGAAGTCAAGATCAAAGACTCCTCAAGATAAAGGCAGTATTTGGCATTGTTGGAATGTGAGTAAGAGCATGACACCAGTTGTATGCAGGGAGAGATTTGGAGATGGTTTTGGAATGTCCAGCATTTAAGAGCCAAAGAGAGCTGAGTCAGCAAAGGAGAAGCGTCACAGGGGAAGGAGGAAATGTGGGAGAAAGTGGATTATGGAAAATGATGGAGAGGAAACTCGAGGAAGTGGTCAAATGCAGGAGAGAGGTCCAACAGAATGAGAATTAAGAACTGTCTGCTGGAGTTGGCAATTAGGCAAGAGCTTAAAAAACCCCACCAGCTATTACCTCAGTGAAATATAACGGTAGGGAAAGAGATACAGTGAATCTTCTTCATTAAGATCCTAGGTCTCACTTGCTATTTCAGGTCAAATGCCAGGTTAATCCTTGGAGAACATCCATGGATGTGGTCCAGCTTCAGGCTTGCTGCATCAGGCAGCTCTCACCTGTCCTCACAGAGCTGATTTCCCAGAGCCTAGAAAGGAGCTTGGAACATTAGTATGTGCCCACTAAAGACTGGTGGAAAGAATGGATAAATGTCTGTGTTGGCCAGAGATCTGTCTTGGTAGAGTGCTGGGAACTTCTGTTATATGGCTGGCTCCAGGAAGTATTTGGCCCTCCGGAGTTGCCAAAGTTCTGTTGCTTTGATAAGAATGTAAAAGTCATAAAGTTATAAGGCTGATCTGGTAGTTTACAGCTGTTTTGGAGGGAAAAGTGTGTTAGAGGTAAGGATGATAACACCTCCAACTAAGGTTTGATTCTGTTCTGAAACACATTAACTTTTGGCTGATTCTTAGTTGTGATTTTCAGATGTTTTCTTTATCTCTTCCTTCCCTCCTTCCTTCCTTCCCGTGTGAAGTGTCTAATCTGTCCAGCTGTATAGTCGATTTCTTAAGGGCAAGGACCACTCCAAAGTCTTTTGTACTCCCTGTAGCCTACTTGTCCGCTTGACCCTCAGCTGAGTATCCTGGTGCCCTCATCCTCACCAGACTTAGAACCAAGACTAGGTCAAGCCTGGACTGTCCATCCGCCTTGACGTCCATCAGCCGTCAGTGAAAAATATGTTTGTTACTTCCCAAAACTTATCCTAGGGAGGCTGAACTGATTGGATATTTAGAGCAAACAGCTGCGCTGACACTGCAACTTCCACCACTATCGGAATGCGTGGGGCCTTAAACGACCAGTCTTCGTTGCCTGGAACCCTAGGGCTGTGCTACTGGTCTCCCTGCGTCCGCTTGTGCCTGGGAAGAGCCTGTGCTATCATAGGGGGCATTACAGCTCCCACATGGCTAGAATAAGGTCTTCTGTATCATGTCCACACGGACACACATGTCCACATGCACCTGAAGCAATCCAGATACTGGAACTGGGGGGTGGGAGAGTGGGGGTAGAAGAAAACATGGGGGTGGTGTTTTCTTCTTTTTGTGTTGATGGGGTGGTTTGGGATAGATCTAGCATCTCAGTCCAATCCATTCCAGTCGCCCCTTGCAGCGCAAGTTGTTGGCCTCCGCTCGAGCCTCCTTAAGCCCCTTGTAGACACGTCCCCACGGTCCCACCGCGGTCCCACCGCGGAAGAAGCGCGTATGAAGCGGAGGTGTAGTCCACGACCACCACCCGCCGGAGACCGCCAGGCGCGACGGGAGGATGTCGGCGCGCGGAAGGCGTGCGTCGCCCCCAGCGCCGCCCGCGTGTCCCGCCCCCCCTCCCTGGAGGACCCCGCGCCCCGGGGAACCCCCGGCGCGGGGCTCCCGACATCCGTCCCCTTCTCTCCGCCTCTCCCAGGCCCGGGGCTGCCTCCTCGGGCCGCGCCGGGGCCGCCCCGCACTGCGCATGAGCGGGAGCCCGGCGAGCCCGTGAGAGGAGCCGCCGCCGCCGCCGCCGTCCATTCGCTGCGGAGCCGGAGGAGGAGGGGAGAGGCCTGGAGGACACCAACATGGTGAGGCACTGCAGCCGTCCGGCCGCCCGCCCGCCCGGCCGCCCGCCCCGCCGCTGGGGGCCGGCGCCGCCGCGCACCCCCGCCCCAGCAGCCCTCCGCCCCGCGGTGACCCTGCCGCCCCGAGCCGTGGCCCGCGGCCTCCGTCCCGCTCCCCGGCGGGGCTCTCTTCCCCGCCTCTCCCTTCCTCCGTCCCTTCCCGCCCGGCGCCGCCGCTACGCGAGAGCCGAGGAGGCGGAGCGGAGCCGGGCCTAGTCGGGAGCCCCGGGGAGTTTGGGGCGCGGGGAGCGGCCTCCGGTGCCCTGGTGCCCTCGCCGGGCCCAAGCGCGGGTGGGGGAGGCGTTGGGGCGGGGGGAGGGGATGGGGCAACGGCCCGGCTCCTGCTCGGTGCCCTCGCCGGCTCCATTGTGTCTGGCCGGGGACCGGTGTCCGGGGTTCCGGGTGAGGATCCTCCCCCCGCCCCGGAGCCAGGGCTCCCCCTCCGCCCGGCGGGTGAGAAGGAAAGACTTTCCTCCAGCTCCTCTCCCTGCTCCGATCCCGGATTCAAAACCCCTCAAGTCTCCAGGCAGTTTTGATTGGGGCGGGGTATCAGCCCTTTTCCTTTCTCCATCACCTCTCGATGCGTCCCATGCTTTGGAAGACGAGTTTCACCGGCCAGTTGGTGGAGGTTATACTTCTCTACTGAGAACACGGGAGACCGCTGAGCTTGGGGGACCGGGGGCGGGTGGGGGGAGGCGAGTACGGAAGTGCAACCTGTTCTCATTTCATAAAATTAGGAGAAACAGACTTGTTACGTTTTGAGCACATATTTTATTTGATTGGGGTGGAAGGAGTAATTGTTTTATTACGCCAATGAAAAAGACCGTTTGTAGTTTTTAAAAAACACTTAAGTTATTCCCCTCTTCTTTTTTGTCTGGGGAACAAATGTCTTACGTGGTAGTCAGGTTATCTGTGTACATTTTGGTAATTATGTACCTGACTCTGTTGGACTCTGTGGGTTTTTCGGAAGCGATGTTTGGCATTATAGTCAGACTGTGAGTTGAATTCCATGCAGGTTACTGTATGAATAGACAGTAAAAATGATATTGTCCGTTGGCTCATGGGCAGCATAAAGGCCTCTTTGAGGAGGGTGTGTGCGTGTGTGGCTGTGTTAAGGGAATGCCCCAGTGTGTTTTGTTTTCAGTCGGTCCTATTTCTGCTGAATGCCACCCATCTAGCCCCAGCCTCCCACTTGGCAAAATTTTGGTGTCATATATGGATATGTGGTTTCGTTTGCCATATATTCTGTGGTAAGTTCCATAAAAATTTACCGTTTGTAAGAAAACTTTGCCATAAAGTACCGGGCAGTAACTTTGGATTGATACCGCAGTGTTCAAAGATCCACTGGGGCGTCTAAACAGTTTCTAATTTCTTAAGTATTTCTACTGTCATAGAAATGACTCCTAAAGTTTCCAGACTCTTGGCATGTAGATGAAGAGTAAGCCTAAAGTAATGAAATGTATTCCCTGTGAGAGCATTGAAATGTGTCCTGTTCTTAATAGTCTCCCAATCAGCATCATCCTGTGGAATCCAAGGTCTTGATAATGCTTATCACCTGTTCAGGAATTCAGGCTTCATGTGGTTCATAGGAGAGTTCAGCTTGGATTTGAGCTTGTAAGCCTCTATAGCCTTTTGTTAATATTACATAGCTAGTTTTGGAACTTAGCCATAACTCATCCAATTATACCAGTAGTTACAAGATATTACTAATTTAAAACACTTTCTGTGGCTGAACACAGATCATGTCACTAGAATTGTCTTGGTATGCTCTTGTTAAGACAGAAACTAAATCACCATGGACCTTAATAGAGGTTAGGTTGTGAGAATTTTTTGATTAAGAAATTTTTCATTATAAAGTTCTTATAATTCCTTCTTGATGTAATTTATGGGCTACCATAAGATTTTTTTGTTTTGTTTTGTTTTGGTGTGTGTAGTGCAGCCCATTGCTAGTGTTATTGTCAATTCTGGGGCAAGCTTAAATCATGGGATAATCTGAAATATTTTGTATAAGAAAAAAATTTTTCAGATAACTTTAAAAATAACTCCAAAAGTAGCCAATATTCTGTTACTCATGAACACTTTAAAAAGTGTTCACAATTTCTGGGTTTTCTTATTTGTAAGATGACAGGGTTGAATTTGATGATTTCTAAAGTTCTATTCAGCTATAAAGATTTTATTTATAATGATTTTTATTAGAGGTGTGAGGAGTGTGTAGACTGTGTAACCTACTATATCTTTGATTCATGGCACCATAGAACTTTTAGACCTGAAATGGCTTCAGATTAAACTTCTTATTTACTCCTCTTCCCTTTTGCAGAAGAAGAAATTGAAGATCAAGGAGATTTTGAGGTTCAAAATTGCAAAATTGTTAGAGAACTGAAACTATTTTCTCCTGGTTTACAATTTCCCCTGGTATTTATGGTACATGCAGTCTTCTAACTCACATGAAATCTGGAGAAATGGTTGAAAATTAGATTTGAAAATAAATTATATTACTCATTTAAACAGGGAAACCCAAGTATTATTAATGAATATTTTAAATAACAAAATTCAAGTTAATGGATGATTAATTTTGTTAATTTCTGGTTTTAGTGGTTTTTAAAAAATGTGTGGACTTGGACATTTAAGATTGTATTTTGAACAAATACTAGAGTTTATAATTTCGAATGAACATAGGCGTATTCAAGATTGTCTCTTAAGAACTTGTTTCACATTCTTTGGTGCATATATAAGTAAATTAAAGGAGGGCCTTAATTCATTTTGATAATTATTAAATACCTACTTTGTGCCAGGCACTGGGAATAGGGGTATTTATATATTTTGTTCGTTTCATTGAAAGACAAAAATCCCTGACCTGGTGAAGGTTACATTTTAGTAAGGAGAGACAAATAATAACATAGTATATCTTTTTTTACTTTGCTATGTTAGGAGGTGTTAAGTGCTATGGGAGAAAAGCCCTTTAGGGAGGGGAATTGGGAATGCTGGGGCACAGAGAAAGTGGGGTTGTAAAATGGTGTTTGCAGCACTGATAAGGCGAATTTTGATTACACTAGGAGATGAAGGGGTAAGTCGCGCAGAAATGTGGTGGGGAGAGATTGAGGAACATTGAGACCTGTGTGGCCGGAGCAGTTTGTATGGGGTGGGGTGGGGGGGCATGTTGGATGTTGGAGCAAATGAGGTCCGAGTTTTGAGGTGTGGAGATGGGCAAAGGTGGTGGGTGTTAAAAAGATACTGGATTTTTATTCCAAGAGAAATGGGAAGCCACTGAAGGATTCTGAGTGGTATGATAGACCTGGTTTCTGCTGTCCCATAATGTCTTATTGCAACATTATAATAATTACTTTTAAAGCAGTTTTAAAGACAATAAAATCCACATTATGGGTTTCTTTACCATACATCTTCTGTTAGTTTTGGATTCTGTTTAAGATGATGGTCCAATAGTCAATAAAAACTAGTTGACCTTCGAGTTTACCTAGTTAAAATACCACAATACACCTCTTTCATAGATTGCTTTGAATATATTCTAGTAGTTTGTGTATACCTAGTGTAGTTTAATGGTTATATGCAGGAAACTTGGCCCTTGAGGAGAAAGGAGGATATTAATATTTATTGAGAACATACTGTCTGTTGGTCAATTTACTACTGTTATTTAACTTAATCTCCACTCCAATTTGTGAGATAGGTATTGTTACCCCCTTTTAAAATATGTGGAAATGAGTGTTTATTGATTCTAAACGATATGAGTTAGGGTAAAGAGCTAGTATGTGGCAGAGCAGGGATTAGAAGGTTGGTTTCTCTGGTTATATACTTTACCCTTCCTCTTTAACCCATACCCCCCTAAAAAATACCCATCAGGCACCCTTTGGGTATAGGTGTGAATTTTTTTATTAGTTTCACTGTGGTTTCTTCCTTAAATAGTTGTTTCCGTATATAATCAAATTGATTTAAATGTTTAATTGAAAAATTAAAACTTTTTTTTTTTTACATACAGTAAAAAAGTTGAGTGTAAAATGAACTCATTGTGATAGTGGTTTTCTTTTTAAGTTTTAAGACAGCTGAGCTCATTTGAGTCAAGTGGCTGTTTTAAGTATGGCCTCATAGGTTGGGTCCAGCATAATGAAAGTCTGTGAGAAAGCCCCCTTTAAGTTTCAGTATGTGGTGTTCAAGTTGTGATAGTATTAACCATGACATTTGATGAAGAGAAATAATTCCAAATAGGATTTAGTTGCTCTGGGGACCTAAACAAGCTCTTGAATAACTGCTATCTAGTTTACCTAGTCACTTCAGGTCTATGCCCCTCACCTAAGAAAAAACAAAAAAACAGAAGGGGGAAAAATACCACTAAAGCATCTTTTATCCCTTTGTTGAACTGAGTTATATAATTAGTACCTAATCAGTGATCAGGCTGCTTGTTTGCACTGTAAAAATTTAAGAGATTTACTTTTAAAAGAGTTCTAAAGAACTTTAGAAAAGAACTCTTGCAGTACACTTATGAATCCCTCAACATTGAACATGGTGTTCAGCAACAGAGATAAGTTGACATGGCTCGTTTTTTGTTACATTTTTATTTCAATAAACAAGTGCTTATTTATTATTCATAGAATTCTAGTATCTCTGGATTTAAAATTTGAGTAGTTACTAAAATTTAGAATTGGATTGTATTTTTCAAGGATCATTCTCTTTGTGAAACATATTGCATGACTGTTGAATGCTAACCATTTTCATAAGTTCTTTAACTATGGAACTTAAAAATCTCATTTAATTCTTTATTCTTTGTTAGTAATCTTTTTGAAGTTTGATTTTCTTCTATTTAAGACAAGATATGTATGGAAAGGAGAAGCAAATTTAAATTTGTTATCTCGACTGCTTGTTAGAAGTTGAAGCAGTAAGTTGGGGAGAATCATTTGAAATATGATACCTAACACAAGTATTTTAAGGAGGCAGTTTCTATCCTACTATTGCAGATAATCAGGAATTAGCAAAACTATTTTTAATAGTCCAGACAGCCTTCTATAAACCAAAATCAAAACATTACATTTACAGTTGTAGTCATCTTTTGAATAATCTGATAATTCTGTGGATGGGGAAGAGAAAATCCTTTAAATTTCCATTAACAGAATAATTTTTAAAAACCTGTAAGAAAGTCCTGGCTGGTGTGGCACAGTTGGTTGGAGTGTCGTCCTGAAAGCAAAAAGTTGAGGGTTTGATTCCTGGTCAGGACACACACCTAGTTTGCAGTCTGGGAGTGCATTTCTCTCTCACTGATGTTTTTCTTTCTCTCTTCCTCTTCCTCTAAAAGCAATGGGGGAAAACAAGTGTCCATAGGTGAGGGTAAAAAAGAAAAGCTGTGAGGAAGTCCTTTAAAAACATACAAAACAAGTTTGGGCCTTATAAGTATACTTTTTGAAATATTTTTTTCCAGGTGAATTGCCACCATATAAAACATTATTGGATATAATAATTGTACAGTATATGTTATATTTGACTTGGTGTAGTAAGTGGTATAGTACCTCTTAGAATTCATTTTAACTGTCATTCTGAGTGTAGAAAGTTGAGAGATGGATGATGAGAGCCACAGGTCTAACCCTAAATAATGATAGTAAACTGCAGGTCATCATTTAAAAGAATACATGGAGGGGTTTTGTTTTGCTTAGTATTTGAAATTGTATACATTTGCTTGTATTTGGGGGCCATAACTGTATATGTATTTGTATTTTCCTCTGAGTTTCAAGTCGTCTCATTGGAAAAGGAAGCCCTGACTTTCAGTGCCCCCCAATTTGCCACCTCTGCACATTTAAAACTATAGATTATGTCATTTAAAAAAAAAATGGAACAGGACTACAAACACATGTTTCTTCCTGTTGAATTACTTATCTTAAAAGTAACTTATGCCCCCCTTCTCCCTCCTAAAAACTCTAAAGGGAAGTCCCATCCCTAAATTAGCCATTTTAGTTAGATTGTGAGGGAATTCTTAGTGGGAAAATTTTAGTCAGGATGCAGATTGTTTACACTTGAAAGGAGAAAGGTCAGTTGATTACTTATTTAACTTTTCCATAAAAATGTGTGAAGAAATATTACTACAATTTATCCCCCCCTCCATTACTCATATAATTTAGTTAGTGGTTGCACTTTTGCCCTTTCCCCCCTCTTTTACTTGGTGACAATGTAGACAGAATAAATGGAAAGACCATGCCTTGAAATTAGGCACCAAGCTCTACTTTTTAGACAAGTCTGTTGTCTTTAGATAAATTGAGCTCTGAGCCTTAGTTTCCTCATTGGTAAAATGAAATCAATGATAACCACCTTGCATAGTTGGCACACAGTAGGAACTCAAATAAATGTTAGCTGGTAGTTTTCTGATTATGGTTGTTAATAATTTTTCTTCACCACTTATACAGAATTACTTTTTTCTCTGGAATATTCTTCATGGACTTGTAAAGAGCACTTACTGCGTGCTAATTACAGTTCTAAGAGTTCAACTTGAATTCATGTAACCTTCACACCCTGTTTACAAATGAAGAAGTTGAAGCACACAGAAATCAGAGATTAAGTAATTTTTCCAAAGTCGCACCGCAGTTAAGAGGCACAAGTAGAATTAAAATCCACAGATTAAAACCCTGCCTGTCTGGTTTGAGAGTCTGCACTCTTCACTAATCATATCCCTCATATTGCCTGTCTACTTAGGTAGAAGGGCAAAGGATTTCTAGCTATTCCTACCTAGGTTCTTAGCCTGGCTTTCTTGCAGAATTTTGCTTCTAGATGAAAGTGTTCTCTGGAAGTAGGTAGTCTTGTTAGAGTTTAATTGATTTTTCCTGCACTTCTGACTTCAGACCTGTAATCTGTGGAAAGGCTTTTTATAAATGAATGGTTTGGTATATTGTAACGTTTGGCCTTATTTGCTGAATACTGTGTATCACATATAGAGAGTATGATTTTCTGGTCTTAAACTAGCTCTTTTAAGTTTCAGGTGAACTTAATTATATGGAAAACACATGAGAATCAACATACAGAGCTTTCATGAGAATTATGGGTGATCATTATAGTGTTTTGACTTTTAAAACATTGCCTTTTGTGAGCTATATTCATTAACTCCTGAGTCAGAAAATTAATTACTTTAAAAATATAAAGACTTTGGTGTCTTCCTACAGTTCAGACTGAATTTGAAACTTAAGGGTGAGGAGATGAAAATTTAGAATAATAGATAATAAAATGGATCTTAACTTTTTGCCTTTAAAATATCACCCATTAAAATTATTTCATTTGAAATTGTTAGGACTTAGTTAACTAGAAAATCATTTCCCATGTTTATTGTTTTTTCTTAAAGATTTTATTTATTTATTTTTAGAGAGGGAAGGGAGGGAGATAAGAGAGAGAGAGAAACATCAATGTGCGGTTGCTGGGGATCATGGCCTGCAACCCAGGCATGTACCCTGACTGGGAATTGAACCTGCAATACTTTGGTTCGCAGCCCGCACCCAATCCACTGAGCTATGCCAGCCAGGGTTATTGTTTTTCTTGAGAGAAATATTTATATGAGAAATTTCTTTGATCATTATTATTTTTTTTACTATAGAGCAAGCTGAATCTCTCTTATCACAATAGACTTTGTAGATTCAGTGGTAAAATATACTTGACCACTTTTATGATTCTTGGCTATATTCAAAGTATTCGTCTGATTTTTTTCCCTAAGATAATCTATTATTTTAAATGTGATTTTTACACTTCTTGGGTGAAAAAAATTGCAAGCATGTGGTAGATTTAAGTATTAAGTAATTTGTATTGATAACTATGTATTTAACTTTGGAAAGATGAGCAAATAAGTACTTTTTACTTTAGAGGTTATGGTAGTACTTTTAACTTTGGTAATCTTTGCAATTTTAATTAGCTTTCTACTAAAAGGGACAGAATTTCTTTCCTCATTTCCTTTCTTCCTCTCTCCCTCTCTTCTTTCTCCTCCCTTCCGCTTTTTTCCTACAATAAAAAAATAATCAATATATCCTGTATTATACTCATTTTACATACCAATATTGAATTTCCTTGAAAATATTATGATACCTAGTTTTCACATTTGACTATTGAATATTATATTGCCTAATTTCATTTAGTGACCAGTCTAGTTCCCTTTAAATTTGTCAGTGTGGCCAGGTCAAAAATTTTGAGGTTCTCAGATATGTTGCTTATACCACAGAACACTGTAGCCGTTAACGTATGCCGTACACACATGCTTTTCCCTCCTTCATTTGCAATAGTAGCTCAGGAATAACCCAAGTATTTTTCTGAGAGATGATATTAGGACTTGTGAGGGGGAAGAGTGATAGTGGGGAGCTTGACATTCCACAGGAGACCAGTTTGGGTGGGCAGGAAGGGTCCTTGATACAGGGAGAGTCATTTGCTTAGGGTTCAGGTCAGATGAGAAATGATTCAGTGTCAACACAAAGCAAGTGAGGAGAGGTTATTACAGTAGAGAGGGTGTTTGGAGAGAGCCTGTGCTAGGCTCGAGCTAAGGGAAAGAAGTGATTCTTTCAGGGGACAAAAGGGAGAATCCTATTAAAAATTACCTTGGTTGGAAGGATGCACAGTACTTGTTTGTATTTCAGGGCCTCTGATTTGAATGAAAATATGAAATTTTATTGATAATTATCTTCATTCATGAACACCACCAGGAAAATGTAGGATACTCCTATTCTGTTGCTTTCTCACATTTGCTAAAAACAGCTAGAAAGCAAGAGGGTGGGGCTGGGAGGAGAAATGTATCCCATTGGGTTTTAGGACTGCCATGAACACCTGTTAATCTCATTGTAACCCAGGGTCATTTGACTTTCTGGCTGGCTAGATAATGTCACCTCCTTCTCCGCTATTCCTTGTGTGCATATCCCTTTAGAACTTGGTGCTTGGTCAAGGTTTTGAGAGTAGCTTACTTCCCTTCTACAGCCTTTATACATGCTCTCAGGATCCACTCTTAGAAGTAATGCAGGATGGTTGAATTTCCTTTACCTTAGTTCTAGTTTCTTTTCTAAAATGATACTAGATTTTGTGTTTTAGATTATTAAAAAAAATTTGTCTTACTGACTAATAGTAGACCAAAACTAAATCTTGAGCTATAATGTTTTAATATTTTGTAAGGAAAAAGAATTGCTGAGGATGATTAGTTAGGCATATAGAAATACTTAAGTCTTCTGTGATTTTACTTAGTGTTTCAGTTTATTTTCTGGTTTCAATAGAACAAGTTGAAATCATCGCAGAAGGATAAAGTTCGTCAGTTTATGATCTTCACACAATCTAGTGAGAAAACAGCAGTAAGTTGCCTGTCTCAAAATGACTGGAAGTTAGATGTTGCAACAGACAATTTTTTCCAAAATCCTGAACTTTATATACGAGAGAGTATAAAAGGATCATTGGACAGGAAGAAGTTAGAACAACTATACAATAGATACAAAGGTGAGTGCTTACTTGTATCTTTAAATATTTTGAACCAGGTGTTCCAAAGTTGCACACTTATGAAAAAGAATACATAGAACATAGGTATTTGTATATGTATGTTTAATGCATAAAACATGGGAGGACATGGGAGGACATCTCAACAGAGCTCTGTAGATCTTAGAATTACTTCAATTATTTTCCTCTTTCTATTAAAATTTCTTCTTAGCCTCTTTATTTCCTCCCCTTGGTTCCCCTGTGTTTTTCCTCCCCCATGATCATATTTGCCGGTGCCCGGCAGGAGGGGGCTGTTTCCCCCCCTTATTTAATAATAAACTTAGCTGAGATGGTTTTAAGAAAACCTACATAATATTTTAACAACCTTTAAATAATTTAAAAGTAATATACACTTTAAAATATTTAAATAACACATAATAGATGAATAAAGAAAAAGTTAATAGTTTCTCCATTTGCTCCTTATGTATTGTGAGGGAACCAGTATTTAATTGTGGTATGGATCCTTCTATGTCTTTTATGTTTACGTAGAAATAAGTACGCAGAGTTTTAAATTTTTTTTTCAAAAATGGGATATTTTATGCATAACTCAGGCCCCCAAATCAAAAAAGTCATTTTTTTATTGCTGTAGATGTCAGCACATCTCATCTGACAGCAGAGTGTGAGTGCCTCTTTCTCCTTGTACCTGTTGTTACTGAGAACTTTGGCTGTCTGATAAGTCAATATTGATAGTTGTTTTCTTTAATTTGAACTGTAGATAGTTACGTTATTGATGTTAGGATTGAATTACTGAGTTTATGGTTTTTCTGATACTCTCAAGAAGTGATTGTTGTGGTAAAATGAACTTTGTTTTAAGGAAAAAGAATTTCTGTATATAATTTAATTTAGAATGCCTACTTAAACAAAATATGGATAGATTGAGTCAAAATCCTTTATCCCTTATAAAGCATGGGTGTCAAACTCGTTTTCACCGGGTGCCACATCAGCCTCACGGTTGCCTTCAAAGGGCTGAGTGTAATTTCAACTCTTTAACGGTTAAGGAGTAGTTACCTTTATACAGTCCTAAAATTATTTCAGCCCTCCGAAGGGATTGCATTTGTTCCTTTCGAAAATAATACAATAATTAAGAAATAATACAAGAATAAAACTGTGTTTCATGTACTTAGAACTATAAACCTCCTTTTGCTTCACCCTGTATGTTTTCCTGTTCATCTTAAGAGTGCTATTTTGAGGGCAAAGTGGCTTTGAATATTATAGAGGAAAATGTTAGTAATATTGCTTTATATGTTTGGTCTATTGAGATCTTTTTTTTAATGGAACATAAAATACTAACTTTTTTAGTTTTAGGAATAGCATAATAAACTATGGCATTAATTTAATATTGCATTGTTATTTATAAAGATCCTCAAGATGAAAATAAAATTGGAATAGATGGTATACAGCAGTTCTGTGATGATCTGGCACTCGATCCAGCCAGCATTAGTGTGTTGATCATTGCGTGGAAGTTCAGAGCAGCAACACAGTGTGAGTTCTCCAAACAAGAGTTCATGGACGGCATGACAGAATTAGGGTGAGTATATAATTTCCATAGGAAATTAGGTGTGTTACTATGAGAATTACTGTGGAACTGAGTTATGTTATAAATTTTGAATGTAAATTTATATATTTACTATGTATAGATTTGTTATAAATAGAAATGGGCTAATATGCTAATTCCTTCCCAGTGTTATCCAGTTCTCTGGGTTTGTCAAGTTGTCTGTATAGTTGATATAGCCTATTCCATTTGTGTTGTACTTTCACCATTTCTTCCTAAGGAAGGTTCTCCAGTATTAAAATAAATTACTGTGCTTTAGTATTTAACATTATAGTGAAATGAGCAAGTTTGAAGTTATTTTATAATGTGAGGCTGCAAATTCTGAATTTACAAATTCCTAGAATTTAAAATCTTGGATGTTACTAATAATTTTTTGTTCATTTATATCTTAACAGCTGGTTAGCTGGATGTCTTGGGATGAGTCGATTGAAAAATCATGGGTAGAGGTTTTGCCAATGGCCTCTAGTTGTATTTAATGAGGCTGCAAAAGTATTCAGTCTATGGATAGGTAACCGGCTGCCCTTTGTTTTTAGTGGCTAACATTTGTTGAACATTTATTTTCAGGAACTGTGCTAAGTAAGTACTTCACCTATCTCTTCACAGTAACTGTGTGTGAGAAGTAGTGCTTATACCCCCATTTTAGAGATGAGGAAACTGAAGTGCAGAGAACTAGAGTTAGGTAGTATTAGAGCCAGGATTTGAACCCAAACATTCTGAACTTGAGCCTGAGGGACATTGTAATTAGGGTCCAGACAAGACATGAAAATACATCAGTAACTTGAATTGGGTAAATTTGAAAGATTGTACAAGGGGTAAAAGAAAACTTTGAGGTATAACAGAGGTGGCAGTTGCAAGAAACTGCCACCACCTCTTGAGCTGAGGGAAGTGAATAAGGGAGGAATGTAGAAACTTAAGGGATCTTAAGATCGGAGCGGAGGGTATGGCTGTCACCGAACTTAAAGCAGGTGGTGCCTGCCCAGGTGCCTGCCTCGATGCCACTCTGATGAAGAAGGAACTGGCTAGAGGCCATTTGCCCCAGGGCCCTGTCAATGCTGTTAGTGAGCACTGATGGATGGGACCTTCCAGCCCACTAAAATCCTTGCTTGTTCTCTGCCAGAAAACAAACTGGGATAAGAAAAGTTTCTTCTTCCCTCTGTCAGTGTTTCATTGCCCTCTATTGGTAGAACCTAACAGTGAGCCAACCGGCAAGAAAAATTAAATCTCACAATTGAAGTCCATTGCAGATGGTCACACTTTAGGGCAAAGAAGGGCAGGATTAAAATTGAGAGGCAGTACATTAATAACTGGCCCAGACAATATGCTATACAGCCAAAGCCAGCCCTGTCCTGAACTTGCCAATTTTTTATGCGAGGACAGATGTCATTAGAGCTAACCTTTTTTTTTTTCCCATTTGAAACTGAGTTTATGTACCATGCGATGAACTTTCAAATCAAAATTTTAATTTACAAACTAATGATCTGGGAGATGTTATAAAGAACATAGAAGGAAAATAAAAGCAAAAAGGTCAGAAAAAAACAGGAATGATTGGTTTTGTGAAATCCATAAGAAATAGGATATTTCTACCTTGAGTCTACTGTGTGGAAAGTAATACTTGGTACTTGGACCCTTTCAACTCTTTAGAAGTTGAGTGCTTTCTAAAATATAGAAAAAGCTTACTGTAGATTTGAGATAATTCAGTTGGAGATGGCAGGAGGCTCACCTGATTTTTATTATACTTTGTATATAATAAAAAATAATTTTTCAAGAGGAATTCATTCTCACCTAAGTAAGAAACTCTGCTTCCAGTTAGTTTGGAAGCTAGACGTGTGATTTTTTTTACCATGTAAGGAGTATCTACTACAGTTTTAACTGGTGATTGTTGTTGATTCCGACACATTCTCATCCATTCACGGCAGCTGACTTGCACAATTCAGGTGTGTTAGTATAGTAGTCCAGTGAATCATGTAATTAAAAGTAATAGCCCATTTCTTTAAAAATAGTCATTATTTCTAACATTTAATCACTCCAGACCTTTTCTTTCTCCAACTAAACCCATACTTGTTTATGTAATGTAAGAAGAGAAATTTCAACTATCTGATTTTTAAAAAGAAGTTCTATGAAATAAATATAAGCTATCATAAGAATAAGTTAAATCCTTAATTTATAGTGAAAAAGTTTATTTTTTATAAACTTAATTTTACAATGTAGATGTGACAGCATAGAAAAACTAAAGGCCCAGATACCCAAGATGGAACAAGAATTGAAAGAACCAGGACGATTTAAGGATTTTTACCAGTTTACTTTTAATTTTGCAAAGAATCCAGGACAAAAAGGATTAGGTAAGAATTTTTAAAAATTATATTTGGTGTTTCAAATACATTCAAGTACATTGACAGTGTCACTTTTGTTTTGTAATAGAAAGTTATGTGTTTTGAGCATAAAATATGAAAATACCAGTTCCTGAAAAACAGTGAGAAACAATGAACTTGCGGTTACTTGGAAAAGACAGCACACATTCAGTGATAGGGTTGGTTACCCTGGATACCACATGCGAACCACTGATTTTTACTTTAAAGAACCATACAGAAAATAAATAGTTGTTAAAAATTCCCCTGACATACGTATGTACATTTGTTTATTTTCCAAAAGATATTGTAGGATATTAGGAGCATATGTTATTTCACTACGGATCTGTTGAAATAGCATTGTGGGAGGTCTGAGTTGGAGAATGCCAGATAAATCTAGTTGTCTTGATTATGACTTATGTGGAAATCAAAAGAATTAAAAAGATGATTACTCATAATCTTATCCAGAAATAACTGCTGTTAATAATTCAGATCAATCTATACTGCTTGTAATATCCATATATTTGCTTTGGGAATGGCTAGGGCATATGGAAATAAAAGCTACAGTGTAATTTACAGTTTACCCAGAAAAATTGGACAGTAATAGATAATACAAAATAGTGTGTGTGAGGGTTTTAGACAAAAGTAGAAATGAATAAAAGCGGGAATGATTGGGTCATGCTTCCTGGGCAGGATGGGATATGAACTAAAAGGTTTGCTTTGTCTGGGCTGGGCAAGGGAAGAAAAAGGTCTTCCACTGAGAGGATAGTTATGAATGAAGGTTCGAAACTTGAGAAATATACTTGGCTTTGTGGAAGCAGGAAAGTGTTGACTTTAGTGGGAATGCTTGTTTGGAGATTAAATTGGTGAAATATTAAGGTTTGGTAACCACAGGCTTCTTTTAAATATAGGATAGAAAGATTTAAAGTGGAATTTGTGGGCAAAGGGATGCACTGAAGATTTTGATGATGGCAGTAACTTCAAATTTAACATGAGCTTTCAGTATGCCTGACAGTGTGCTAAGTATTTTACATACACTGCCACATTTAATGTGTAACAATTTTATAAATTTCCATTCTTTCATTAAGTAATTCTCTACCTGCCATTTGCCAGGTACATAATAATAGAGTGCTAGCCATTTTTTATACTTCCTTTGCAGATAAGGAAACTGAGGCAAAGGTAAAGAACTTACCCAACAGTTGAAGTGAGTTTGTTTTTGATTTTGAATATACAGTAATTGGAGAGGCTAATAGGGGCCTATTGTACTAATCCTTCTTTATATTTTAGATTAGGTGGGGAAAGTGTTGAGAAAAGGATTATGTGAGTAAGGATTAGACTGAGGAAGTGTTTGAAAGCTAATGAGGAAGGGATGGGTGTGTAACATTTGGAGAATTGGCCTAAAGAACGACCAAAATGAAACTGATTAAAAATTCACAAAATATCTGTAAAGCAAAATTCTAAATAATGAAGTCTCATTTCCCACCTTCAGTTTAGGTTGGATATTCTTACAGAAAAATTTCTCATTTCGCAGGCGATATAAGCTAGTATACCCTAGGATTGGTTTCTCTGTCTTCTGTCTGTGGCTACCAGTTTATTGGGCTATTTTTTCTAGCTTCCTTTTTCTTCCACAAATAAAAACCGATTATAGTCTAATTTATATGTATATACTATAAGAATTATTTTTGTTATGTTTAGAAATATAGCACAAAATTTTGGTAAGATTAAACAAAATTTTGTGAGTATCAGTGGTGATATAAAGGGATTGAATCTATTTCTTAGTTATATCCCTAGCCCTTACTGGAGTACAAAATAAATGATATTTTTGGGTGCATATATAGTAATATTTAATCTTAGGTTTTATTATAGGGTGAAATAAAAGTAAAATTAAATTTTTATATTTATATGGTAAATTGGAATTTCAGATTACAGAAAAAATGAGAAAAAGATTATGCATAGAATTAAGATTTAAAATTGTGTTTATTTTATCTAATAAGTATTGCGCTTAAGAAAAATGTAATTGTTTATTGTGTATAAAGTTTTTGTTTTGCAAGATGAAAAGAGTTTTGAAGTTAGTTGTATATCAGTGTGAATATACCTAACACTACTGAATTGCACACTTAAAAATGGTTAAGATGATAAACTTTATGTTATGTGTATTTAACCACAATTTATTAATTTATTTTTATCTTTACTTGAGGACATTTTTTTAATTGCTTTTAGAGAGAGAGGAAGAGGTGGGTGGGGGTGGGGGGGGGGATAGAGAGAGAGAGAGGGGGAGAGAGAGAGAAACACATGGGTGTAAGAGAGAAACATAGATTGGTAGCCTTCTTGCACATATCTAGATCAGGGATCAACCTGCAGTCTGGGTACGTGCGCCGACCAGGAATCGAATTTGTGACCTTTGGTCTGTGGGTCAACATTCCAACCAACTGGAGCCACACCAGCCAGGGCTAACCACAATTTTAAATTTCTTTTTAACCACCCCCTCCTCCCCCCTCCAAAAAAAACAGACTGTACAACACAAAGTAAGCCCTAATGTAAAATATGGACTATAGTTAATGATATATCCATATTGGCTCATCAATTTTAAGAAATATACCACACTAAAACAAGATGTTAAAAATAATGGAAGTAGTAGGAAGGGAGGGAGAGGTATATGGGAACTGTCTGTACTTTTGCTCAATTTTTCTATAAACCTAAAGTTAAAACTAAGAAAAGGCCTAATTAAAAAAAAACTAATAAAAGTAAACCGTAATTTCTCTTTTTGTTTTGCATTGGTGTTGGGTGTCAGGAAATGTAATGACTTGCTTAGTTGAAGAACTTAATTAAAAAGGAAACAGTTTTGTTGACAGCCTTTCTAAGGGTTTACAGGGCTCGTATATTATTAAAGTATGCGGTAGAGAGGAATTAGAAGATCATAGGAGAGGAGGTGAGGTCCAAAACAAATTGACAAAGAGTGACAGTGACAGCACTGTGGTTGATTTATAAATAGTTGTGGTGGTGGTAGTCACAGCTGGTGTATGCCTTTTTTTCTCATTTTCTATAACTGTATTTCTTGTGGCACTATGATAGGTTGCTTCCTCTCTCACTGTCTGCATCAGTCACCTGCCATTTCTGATAGTTCTCTGAATCCTAAATTTTTGAAAGGAACTTCATAAATCCTCTGTTAAATCTAACCAAAGTAGTATCCATCCATACATAATGTTCATTTAGCTTTCACTTTTGACCATGGATTGGACACAGTGGCCTATTGTCTTTACAGGACAATCTTACACAGTTCTTCCTTATTAGGCTAGCATCTTTGTGTTTATAACTTCTATCATTGCTCTTATTTGTCCTCTACTATAGCCCAGAGGAAGTCTAACCTTAAAAGAGCACTATCACTTACCCCTTCTCTTTTTTCCAAAACAGCGTTCCAATTATTTTAACTATTCATTTGAAGAGACTTATTATTCCTGTTACTGTCCCCCCAGACACATTTCCATTTTTGCAGTTTCTGTCAGAATAGAGCTCTTAAAGCTGAACATCATAATAATCCAGAAGGAGGCTGTTTAATATAGAACACTGTGAGTCTGTCTTCCCTCCCTCCCTCCCTTTTTGTGGGATTGATCTATTAATTTGATCAAAAATTATATTAGTTCTTCATCATCAGCCTGGTCATTTTTAGGACCATCCTGAACTTTAATAAAGTCTATAGGTTATTTTCTTATAAACTGTGGTTTAGTTAGAGTCCTATACTTGTGTAGTTGATTTAAAATTTTTTAACATTATTTGTTAAACATTTAATATTTAGAAATAAATTTTAGTGTTTTTAAAGCATATTTTCATCTGTACAATCCTCTTTGATTTTTTTTAACAAGCCTTTGAGCAAAGTAAAAAGAAACCACTTACCTTTTCATGAAGGTGAGGAAAATCATGGTCAGGGAGGCTGACTTATTAAGGTCACCTAACTTTAGAATTGTGGGACTCAGCCTCGGATCTTCTGACTCCAGTTTCTGTCTTCTTTTATTACACTATGTTGTGCTAACTGTAGATATTTCTAAGTAGATGAAAACATTTTGAATGGGATTTTTCATCACTGTGCCATCCTCCCTAGTGAGTTGACAACATTTTGTTTCCTTCAGGGACAGTGTTTGGATCCCATCTTAGTTCATTTTCATGTTCATCTGGTACTCAGTTGGTCATCTTTTATGGAATCCCACATTGCCCTGTTGATTCTCTTTGAAAGAATGACACATGGATTACCTTTGTTTGCATTTTTAATTTTACTGTAAGGGCTTGAGGATTCATTCTTTAAGTATCTCAGTTTTTTACATTACTGTCATTAAGACCTGCTTGTCTCCTTTTCTCTGTGTTGTCCTTCTAACTGCTTTTATTTCTGTTATTGAATTTACTTTATCCAATACTACTTCAGAATTAATAATTTTTTAATATTAAAAATAAATAATAAGTCAGGTACTGTTCTAAATGTTTTATATGTATAAACTTGTTTAATCCTTACAACCACCTCGTGAGAATACATACCATTATTATTTTTTTTTAACTGATTTACAGAGAGGTGAATTCAGTTGCCTATGGTCATGAACTAGTGCTCAAGTTGGGATTTAAGAGGCTGAACTTCTGTGTTAAACCAGTTCTCTAGCTAGGCTGTTCTTTCTGTCACTCAGACATTGCTGTCTAAAGGTACTTTTTCCTAAGCTTACTCTATGCATTTCAATTCCTAATTTTAATTTACTGATCTTTTTGAGTATTCCTTTTTCATTTGACATTTACTGACTGCTTACCCTGAGAGCATGGTATCAGGAGCATCTTAAGTCTGTCTGGGTGAGTTTGCCGCGTCTCCATGGAGGTGCTTGATTTTTGAACCTTGAAGAAGGAATATATGTTTTCAAGGACAAAAGAAAAAGAAGTCATCTCTAATGTGGAGATATTAGCAAGTTTAATTGCTCATATTTGAGGAACTACAAGTAAGTTTATTTGACTAGAAATGTACTTATCTGAAGGCAATAGGATATCATTGTAGGTTAAAAAACATTTTCAATAGATTTTATTTTTTGAACTGTTTCAGGTTTATAGCAAAATTGAGCAGAAGATACAGAGGTTTCCCATATATCTCTGCCTTCACACATTATTGACATCCCCCTGCTCTCATTATGGACATCTGTTGCCAGTTGTATCCGCATTGGCACATTATTGGCACTTTAAGTTTATATTAGGGTTTGTTCTTGGTGCCATACATTTTGTGGGTTTTGACAGGTACATAATAACATGTATCTACGGTTATAGCATTATACAAAGGAGTGTTACTGCCCTAAAAATTCCATCCTAACCCCAGACAACCATGAACCTTTTACTGTCTCCATAGTTTTGCCTTTTGCACAATTTCACGTAGTTGTAATCATATAGTATGTAGCCTTTTCAGATTGACTTCTTTCACTTAGTAATATTAATACACATTTGTTTTCCTCCATATCTTTTCATGGCTTGGTAGCTCATTTTGTTTTAGCACTAAATAACATTCCTTCATCTGTATGTACCACAGTTGTATATGTGTTCACCTTCAAAAGAACATCCTGGTTGCTTCCAAGTTCTGGCAGTTATGGATAAAGCTGCTGTAAATACCCATGTGCAGGTTTTAGTGTGGACATAAGTTTTCAGTTCATTTGAGTAAATACCAGGAGCAATTGCTGGATCTTTTGGTAAGTGTATGTTTAGTTTTGTAAGAAACTGCCAAACTGTCTTCCAAAGTGGCTGTACTATTTTGCATTCCCACCAGCAATGAATGAGAATTCCTGTTTCTCCATAGCCTTGCCAGTGTTTGGTGTTGTCAGTGTTTTGGAGTTTGGCCATTCCAAAAGGTGTGTAGTGGTATCTCATTGTTTTAATCAGTGAAGAATTTTAACATGGAAGTGATATCAAATTTATATGTCTGAAATCTCCATCTGAAACTAGTGTTGGTCCTTTAAAAGGAGTAGAGCTGTCGCAGTGGTTTAGCTAGACATGAGGAGGACCCTAACATAGGCCTTGCCAGTGGGGTTGAGATGTTAGAATGAGAGAGCTTTGGTTGGAAGTGTTTGATGAGGAAGAAAGGAATTTACCTATGATTCTCAACACAGGGCATATTTAGAAATGTGGGGGGCGGGGGTTGGTTGTCATAATTACTGAGGGTTTCTGCTGACTGTAGGGGGATGCTAAATGTCCTGCAATGCCTGGAACAGTTCCTCACAATGAGAAATTTCATTGAGAAACACTGTGGGGTGATGGCCTTTATTGAGAGAGGAATAGCGGGTCTGTAGAGGTAAGACAATGAGTTAAGTCTATGCCCTGTTGAATTTGAGTTTTTGTGGGTACCCATTTGAAGATATTGAGCATACAGTATACAAAAAGGGAAGAGTTTGACACATCTGAAGGAAGAAGAAGTGGTTATTGCTGACATACAGTATTACAGAACACTGACATTTAATGCATGAATGGAGGAAGAAGAGCCTGTCGAAGAGAATAAGAAGGCCAAAGAGGAAGAGGAAAATCAGTAGTGTGCTTCACAAAGCTAAAAGAAGTGACAGTTCCGTCCCAGAGGTGTCCTCAGTTCCGTCAAATACGGCAGAGGTCCAAGTAAATTAAAGATATAAATGTGTTTATTTGGCAAACATAAGGCTCTGGGGCTCTGGTAGCCCTCCAGAGATTTTCCCACTGGGGTGAGTTGCAGAGGTGGACACTAATTTATAGAATTAAATAGTGTGTGGGAGGTGAGGAAATGGGGCAATGAACGTAGAATTACAACAAGTTCTCTTTTACAGCCTAAACTTTCATACATCATACATGTACATACCTACTCTTGACAAAGTCCTTTATTAGGTGTTAGCTGACAAATGGGTGTATACAGGTGTCTCATGCTTTGCAGTTATTTGAATCTTTTATTTCTTATTTTGTAAAAATTAGTTAAAAGGAAAAATAGTAACACTAATCACAAGCTTAGTTCTTATATATTTAATGCATTTGAAGTGAAGAAGGAAATTATTAAGCATGTTAATAACAGATCTTACTGAGCATGCCAATGCAATTTTACCTCACTTAAAGCTCGACAATTTTGTTTATTTAGTAAAGAACAAAATTAAAGAACTTGGAAGGAATATTAGGTATAAAGTTTTATAGACTGCAGAGATTAAAAAGGAATTGTGATTAGTAACTGGTGTCATATTTCTAGTTCTCTTAAAACATGGGGATCTGAATTTGACTTTTAGACATGTTTTAGGAACACATTATGTATGAAAGTAGAAGACTCCATGTAACAAGATTATCTGTGAAGGGAGGAGAAACAGGGAATGAAAGACCCAAGAGACACTTACTTTTTAAAGAGAGATGATAACCTGAGCTTATTTCTTTGTGGAGGGGGAAAGCCAAAGGGGGGACCCTTTGTAGGAAGGGTAGAAAATGACTTAGTAGACAGTAGACAAGATACCTTGAAGAGGCAGGATGGTACTGGTCCAGAATAGTGGTGCTGGACTTGCCCTTGGATAAGAGGGAAAAAAGGCACCCTTTCCATTGAGTTTGAAGGAAGAAGTAATGATAGATTTAAAGGTGCCTTTGTATATGGAACCGTAGGAAGTGCATTCTTTCAGTATCTCAGTGCTTATTGTGTGTTTCAGGCTGCTAATTCAGGTGTAGGTAATTCCTAAAAGAGGTTGAAATCCAGTGAAGAAGGGGGATTTTTTTTTACCTTATGACCTTTTTATATTTTTCTTTGAGGTAGGATGTGAGCTCTTTTGGAGTCTTTTCCTAGTCTTCCATGATTCCTCACATTGTCAAGAGTGGTTTGGAGAGTATATCAAAAGGACTTTTAAGTTACTTGGGATGTAATTTTTCTGGACCTGGAGATGCAAATTTACTTATAAAAGCTTGATACTTTCTATCTACCTCAGTTCCTGGCAGAAGATTGTAAGTCTTTCTCTCTGTCATTTGACAGGAGGAGGTCTTTGTCATGTGGGAGTGTTGCTTTACCTTTCTCTGCTCCAAACCCAATTAAATGGTCATTATGTCATTTTATCACATTTTTAAAACCTTAGTTTATTATTAATTTTAATTTTTAAATAAAAATTCTTAGTAGTTCTTTGAGGGCAAGATCAGACAGCCAGCATCTTGGAAAATTGGTTAGGATTGTGGGCAGCACTTCTTTGTGTTACAACCTGTAGGTGTACATCAGTAGTTCTCAACTGGGAGCAGTTCTGCCTCTCAGGGGACACTTGGCAGTGTGTGGAGACATCTTTAGACATCTTTGGTGGTCACCACCAGGGATAGGATGGAGCTGACACTGACAGCTAGTGGTTGGAGGCCAGGGATGTTGCTGTTGCTATAATGCCATAGGACATCCCTCCACAACAAAAAGTTACTGCTCTTAAAATGTCAAAAGTGCTGGGTCGGGAAACACTGGTGTACAGTAACCAGCATCTGAGTACGTGGGAACTAGTCACACATGCTTATTTACATTATCTAATGGAAACTGCAGAAACACCCTGTGAGGTAAGTGGTACCCTTCTTGCCCTGAAGGTACTGTTCTTTGGTGATGGAGCCAGGACACAACCTTGGGCTTCTTTCTTTAGGAAAGTTTTAATACATAAGTATTCAGGGCACAAGTGGGGTTTGTTGTTTTTTTTTTAAAGGCTATCTTTGGTCTTTCTTTTTAAGGACAAGTATTTATGGCATTTAAAATACATGATTTATTTTTAATATTACAGATCTAGAAATGGCCATTGCCTACTGGAATTTAGTGCTTAATGGAAGATTTAAATTCTTAGACTTATGGAATAAATTTTTGTTGGTAAGTTCATGTTTTCTACAGTTCCTTGTTTCCTCTAGAATTTTGTTTTGTTTAAAAATAAATTACTCTTTGAAAATGTGACTGACTCATCTCAGAGCATGTAATGGACATAGAATGAGAAATTTATCAGAATTTCTGTATATAAGGTTTTTTTTGCATTTTTGTATTTAGCATCATCTGGACTGTTTTTATGAAACACTTTTTAGTGATTTGGATTTTTTTCATTAAATAGGAACATCATAAACGATCAATACCAAAAGATACTTGGAATCTTCTTTTAGACTTCAGTACAATGATTGCAGATGACATGTCTAATTACGATGAAGAAGGTAAATGCCCTTTCATTTTTGTTTTTTACCTGCCTCCTTCTTTTATATACTTTTGAACCTCTTGTCTACTTCTCTTGGTTGGATTTCCCTCTTCTGAGCTTTTATTTGTGTTCTTCCCAATGTGTGAAATGCCTTCATCCTCTTTACCCATCTGTGTTGTTCTGTTACTTTAAATACCAACTTAGTATTCATGTCTCCCAGAAAGGCATGAGTAATTTTGATCCATGTTTGAGATTTTCAGTTTATTTTAGGAAGCTATTCTCTTAGGAAAGTACTTTTATACTTATATGTATTTATTATTTGTTTGTCTTGTCTATGAACTTAATTAGTAAACTCCTTAAGTTTAGTGACTTTGTCTAATTTGAAATGTGCTTCAGCTGCCTACTGTAGTACTTACTGTTGGCATTCGATAAATACTCATTGATTGCTTTTCTCTTATTTCTTCATGTAAAGATGGTGCTACCATCTACTACCTGTTTTCCTTTTGTTTTTCCAGAAGTGGCAGTAATTTACATTGATTTCTTCACACATCCCTAGTCTCCCCCTACCCCGAGAATTAGCAAGATGTGTTTTAGAGGTTGTTGAATACACAGAGGTATTCTTTGAAAAAATCTCCATTGACCTTGGCCTTTTTAAAAGTGAACTGGAGCCATTTAGTCTAACCAGAGATGATGTTATTTTGTTCTCTTTGTTTCAATTGTAATGTATAGTCTTCACTAAAAAGTAAGAAATGTGTACTCTTACATATGATTGATAATTGACCTTCCATGAAACTGAAGAACTTTCTGATTTAGAGGTTGGCATATGGATGTACAGAGGCTTGCATATGTGCAATTTAAAATCATTTAGTAATTGTCATGAAGTAGGATAGATTTTGATACTTGTTTTCTTTGTAAGATTTCCACAAAATACCTGCAAATTTGTTTCCTCCTACCTCTTTCTTCTGCTTTCAGCACTGGCAGCATTCTCTTATATCATGACCGTTCCTTAGGCTGGCAGTTGGGACCAAATTCTTTCAGTGGCCTGACTTCAGTGGCCTTCAGAAAACCATAATATTATTGATCACTTACCAGGAGAGTTATTTTTATCATTCAAGGAATGATCAAGTGTTGGAATAATAGAGCAGAAAGAATACAAGAAATACCTTAGGTAGAAACTCTAAAAAGCTTGAATTTTGAGAGTTCTATGAGTGGAAATATTTAATTGTGGGGAAGATAATTAAAAAGTAAAGGAATCTATTAAAATGTTAGTCTTATTTCTGTTTTTCTTTCTTTCCTTTCTCCCATGTATTTTTTCCCCCAGGAGCATGGCCTGTTCTTATTGATGACTTTGTGGAATTTGCACGCCCTCAAATTGCTGGGACAAAAAGTACAACAGTGTAGCACTAAAAGAACCTTCTAGAATGTACATAGTCTGTACAATAAATACAACGGAAAATTGCACAGTCAATTTCTGCTGGCTGGACTGAACTGAAGATCAATCCTCGTAATTCAGACTGAGGGTTGAGACAAAACTTTAAGGATACATCTTGGACCATACCATATTTCATTCTTCTAATGGTGGTTTGGGCTTGTCTTCTAGTCTGGGCCGCTCTAACCATTTATAATTCCAACATTGTGGATTTCATCTTATTTCTGTGGACCATCCTAGTTTATCCTCCCATAAGTCTTAGAAGCTTTATGGTGATTATTTTGAGGTTTTCCACTCTTGGCATAAAGCACAATGCTGTCTTCATCAGAAAACAGTTTGGCATAAGAATTAAACATGAACATCACAAACAATTTATAAAAACTTCTTAAATATATGCTTTGGGCTAGTTGCAAAGACTATGCTAATAGCACTTCCAATGAGAGTGATATATTTAAGTGTACTGGATCTGGAATGGTGTTTTGGTTTGGGGGAATTTTTTTTTTTTGCGGGAGAATCACATGTATTGTTGACATGAGTAGAGAATCTGATGAAAAAAATGTCAAAATAACCAACGTGAAAATTTTTAGAATAACTTCATGTGCCTCCCTGAAAATTTTACTGTGTTTCAGACCCTTGATTTCAAAAGGTCCCACAGAACTAGTCTGTATTTTTCTTACCCTATGTTTATATATAGTTGTCCTACAGGGAGCTGTTACTTAGAAAATGTCTGCATAATGTTAGATTCTATTCCTGTCTGCATTATGCACTACATAATTGGATTTCATTATGATTTTGAAATGCTTATATGCCTGTTGAATAAGTTAAACTATTTAATTTGTTTTGAATGTTTTAGATTGCTACACAATACAATATTCTAAATTTAGGCATGAAGGTTTATTTTGGGGGCTTTTTTTTAGCACACTATGGAACACAAATGAAATTCTCTTAATTTATAAGAAGATAGTAGGAATTAAATTTTGAAAATGGTCATGGTGAACCATGAAGTTCAATCCTTATAGGTACTGGTCTTTCAGACAAATAGTCCATTTTTGATGACTTCTTATTTTGTTGAAATTGCTTTAATTGCTAATCACTGTGGTTGCCAAATACTTCAGGAGCAGAGATTTTCAAGCAAGCATGTACTTGATACAAAATACCAATCTGGCTTCTATTTTTCGTAAATTATTCAGTTTCTTTATTGTTTTTGTTTCACCCAAATAGGACATTTTCACATCAAAGCAGGATTCTATCTTGTATGTATTATTTTCATTACAAGACCTATAAACTGCTTTTATGCTGAAAATGCTGATTTCCCTGTTTGCTTCCTGACATGTGAAGGAGGGTTTATTGCTTTTTAAAACATTTCTGTAAGGTAGGTAAAAAAAAATGTAAAACTTCAAATATTGGATGTGTATGGGCTTTAACAGGAATAGATTTTGCTTGGTGTATTCAGGCGCTCTTTAAGGTCTACCACTGAAATTATCAAAGGAATGTACTTCAGATTAGCAGTATGCTTTAGATGTGGAAATGATTTTAAAAACAATGACATATTAAAATTACTTTTATTTACATGATTTTGAAATTGACTAGAAAGGCTTTCCATAGATCTCCTATTAATATTCCAATCAAAAATTCAATTCAAGAATACTGTTCTTCCAAAAGAAAATTTTGAAAACTTCTATTCAGGTGACTGGAATTAGTTATTTTTTAAAAAAAAAAAGGGAAGAAAGAAGAATCCTGCTGCTTTTCTTTCAAGTATTTTCTGATTTCGTATTTGTTAATATAAAGAGGAACTTCAATTATGAAAAATTTTAAAATATGTATGTACTATTTTGTTTTCTGTCTTGAAGATTTTGAGTTACGGTATTGTTTTCAGATTAATTCAAGTATGCTGTGTTTTGAAATGAGATTCCCATTAACTTTTTCCCCCCAATATAAATTATTTTTCATAAAAGTCTGATATTGGTTCATGGCCTAGTGCCTTGGGTTTTACAGACTTTTCCTTTTAAATGCAAGACCTTTCAACAAAATAGTATTTGTCATCAGTTTGGTACTAAACATTTATAATTACTGTGTAATTATAAACAAAAATACATAAATCTTTGAATATAATTATGTAGTATAAAAGCTAAGGTTGTTCGCTCTATGATAGCATCTTAGAATTAAACAATACTATTACTAGGGCTGAAAAGTGAAGACTGGTTTAATGAGGTATGATTACTCTGAGGATAAATGTCTGGTTACAGGGAATATTCTGTACTAAAAATGCTTACACAAGTGGCCACGTGTGTGTGTGTGTGAAAGCGTGTCTGTGTGTGTGAGAGAGGCTGAAAGAGACACACGCTCACAGGCACACAACTTGAATTGCTTTAATACATTAGTGTTTCAGTCTTCATTCTGGTGAACTCCCCATGCTGATTCTTTGTTTCAAACTGAACCGCAGGTACAGTTTCCTTTTTGCCAAATGTCAAAACAGGTACACATTTTAAAATGTAATGCTTTTTAAATAGTAAAGTGTATAAAATTAGAAGTGCCCACATATAAAAATACTTGAGATCAAGATTATCTTTAGTGACTATCATCTGCATATCTCTGTAAGTTCAATTGTGTTTCTTCCAATCCCTGTCATATTACCAACAGAGGCAATAAAAACTTCAGTGAAATTGCCATGACTAAATCTTTTCAAATATTATTTCAGTGTAATATTTTTAAAGACGAAACAAACCTGAAAATTTATCCAGGAAAAACAATTACTCGAGGAAAGAGCATTGTAATGGCAAGTTTTAGGGAGAAAATGACATGCCAAGTCTTGTTTACTACATTTAAAATGTTTACAACTATACTGGGCTGCTTTATTTAATTAACAGTACTGTAGTTGTGTAATATGGCATTGTAAGTATGTGTTCATTAGACTTTTAAAAAGTTTTAATGAGAGAAAGTAAACAATAAAATACATGGAAAACCTTTTATAGAATATCCTTACTGGGGAATTCTTATTTAAGCAAGGTATTCTTTTTTTTTTCCCCCTCAGAAAGACTTAAGTGAATGAAGTGTTCATCTGTTTTTATTTGATGATAAGAAGTTTAAGTAGTTGTAGCTAGTTTAACGTGCACTTTGCTTAGATTTTTAAAAGTATGTTACTATTAAGACTCCGTATTGTAAACCTTCTGTAACTTTTCCTTAAGAAAGAAGAAAGTTAATCCTAATGAAAGCATTTTGGAATAAAAAAAGGTGGTGGTGCTGGGGAAACTTGATCACAGTCCACAGAGTATTCCTTTGTAAACCTGAGTCAACTTCTCGCACGAATTAACTCATGTAGTTCCAGATGTTCAATTGTGTGTGTTTAATAGAGAATACTTATTTGGCACCTCAGCAGTTTTCTTTAAATGTTACTTTATACTTTTAACAATATGATTTATATTGAATACATAGATGTTTTGATAAGATTTTATCAAATTTGATAATGTAATGATAAAATGTTTTTAAAATGTGAACTATTTAACGTATATCTTAATAACCGAGGACACGATACCTGAATTGTGATTTCTACATAATGTTATAATTAGGGGTTAAATTATGGCTCATCATTTAATTGATTATAAACGAGTATATTTCTGAACTCTTTACTTGCCTCCATTTTTACAATCACATAGCAATAATTTCTATTTTTATGTTATAGAAATGTGGTGAAGCTAGATATCACAATACCTTTACCTTTGATTTCTGAGAGGAAGGGGGTTTATATTTCACAGTTAAATTTGAAAATTCCTCGGAGCACACATCCCTTATCCCAGGTTTATCCTTACTATTTGTTGCCATTTTGATTGATTACTTGATTAATATCTGATTCTGGAGGCAGATAGCATTGCTTATTCTTTATTTTTAAATCCCATAATGTAGTTGCATAAGCAGTTTTACCAGAGCATCGTCGCCGTCTTGTTTCCTTGCGTCTGCTGGGCGGTTGGCGGTTCTGCCCGCCAGCCCCTGGACTTGGCAGCTTTCCGCGGGGCGCCGTGTGTGGTGTTGACGTGCCTTCTGACGTCTCTGGTCGACCGTTCCCCCCTGTCTTAAGGAAGGAAATTCTGACAAAATGTGCATAGAATTCATAGTAGATGGAATTCCTGCCAGTAATGTCTTGGCGGAATTTTAAAAAGATTATTTTGTAAATCATTATAAATTATTCATTTCTGAAGTTGGGATTCTAAAAAGTATATTTTTAATACAAGTTTATTCAAGTTTTTCTTAGAAGCTTTGCTTTAATATGCTGTGTTGGTTTGTTTGTGTTGTGCTGGGTAGCAGTCGGCGTGCCGCGCCGGCGCGCGGGGGTCCGGCCACGCCGTGGGGCCGCCGTGCTTCCTGCGCTTGGGCCGCGGCAGCAGGGTGCCTCTTCCGTGGCACCTGTGTGGGTCTTTACTCCGGTCCTTGTGGAATACTGGCATGGCATGTGAGATTTGGGGTGGAGGGAAAGTTTGGGGGTAGAGGGAAAGTGTGGTTTAAAAAGTTGTTTTAATGGCATGCTTAGCGGGAAATCTGCCAGGTTTTTCAGTGGCATAGAAAGAGGTGGGGCCCGGCCGAGATTAAAGCTGGCCTGGTCATAGAGAGCAGCATTGCTCTGAAGAGTCTATCAAATACGTTTAAAGCAAAAACCAAAATAATGAAGCTTGATTTGAAATACTGAAACACTTGAAATTTACCAGAGGTAGCATGTGAGTGGCTTAATGACCCAACCAAACAGAAAAGGATAATACTCATATTTAGAATGTAAGTATATATTTAGATGCATATTCAATGTGAATACTTAAAATTTTATTTCCAATTATGAAATATCCCAAGGGAACTTTGTATCTAATGGAAAACCTGGGCAATAACTAAACAAGGGAGTTGGTACTGAAAGAAATACTGTGGAGCGTAAGATTAGGGGAAAGCATACATTTCTCTAGTTAAGAGAAATGTTAATGTGAGCTGCAGACAATGATTTGTTACATTACCTATAAAAGTTATGCAGTGTGTCCATATCCTCATAGATACTGCTTTTCTTAACTTACAGCTGGAAAGCAGTATTTGATTAGTAGAGATGTGTGTACTTGGAATCCTTTAAAAGCATGTTTAGTTTTTAAGCAAACGCTAACAATACTGTTAGAGCATAAAATAGTCATTCCTAAGACTTTGTTGTAATGGTACTTAGGAAAATACAGCTTTAGTGAAGCATAATTTATACACCATAGAAGTCAGCTATTTTGAGTGTACAACTCGGTAGTTAGTAAATGTACAGAGTTGTGCAGCCGCCATCAGTCTGGTGTTAGAACATTTCCGTCAGCTGCTCCCTTGCAGCTGACGGCGGCTGCCCTCCCCGGCCCTAGGCAGCCACACACTGATCTGTCTTTCGTGAATTTGCCCTGTCTGGAAACTACGGGCAAGTGAGAGTTACAGTTTCATGTCTGTCGATTGGACTTCTTCTAGTTGGCATGTTTTTGAGATTTACCCATGCTTTAGCATATACCTGTACTCAGTTCCTTTACTTGCTATATAGTATTCCCCTGTTTGGATGTTCTGCATTTGGTTTATCCATGCACCAGTTGATGGACGTTTGGATTGTTTGCATTTTTTGTCATTATGAATGCTGTGAACATTCACATGTATGTCTTTGTGTGGGCATGTTTTCATTTCTCTTAGATTCCTAGGAGTGTAATTGTTATATTGGTTGGAAAATTTATGTTAACTTTCTGAAAAACTGCCAAACTGTCTTTCAAAGTGGTTGTACCATTTAAAAATATTCCTACCATAATGCATAATGATTGCAGTGTGTCCATATCCTCATAGATACTGCTTTTCTTAACTTATAGTCATTCTGGTAAGGATGTATTTTAAGGGTACAAGTTATATATCTAGCTATCCTACCTCATATGTCTGTTCCATGTGCCACTTGGGTGTGTACACAGTGGCCTGAGGGACTGCTGCAGAATTACTCACAGTAGAGGTGTGCTTACCTGAAGGTGGTAGTTTTTGTAGCGGGTGAGGGTCGTTTCAGTGCCCTTCCCATGCGGTGTGGCTCCTTAGTGAGTTTTGTGAGGCGGCCTGCGCAGGGGAAGGGCAGTGCGGACGGCTGCGCTGTGCGAATTGCTGCGCTGTGCGTATGGTGGTTGTATCGCGGTTGCCGCTGCTTGCCCAGTGCCTGTGTGCCAGAGGTGGCTCCGCCAGCATTGCACTCACACCTTGCACGGGTGTGTCAGAGCCGCCTCCTTGAGTTTCCCAGAGCTCTTCCGCTTTGAGGTAACTGGAAATTCTTAAATTTGTAAAAATGCAGTGCTGCTTGAATTTTTGAGTGGGAAGTTTCACACCCACACAAAAGCAGAATGGTATGCTGAACCTGCTTCAGCGTGATCAGTTAATGACCAGCATTGGTATCTGTGTGCCGCCCATCTTCCCAGTCCAGATTTATTTTGAAGTAGGTCTCAGTGAGTGCTATGCCTGTCTAAAAGACAAAGACTTACATATAACCACAATACTATCACCGCACTTAAATGTTAACAACTTCTTAGTACTTAACCTAGTCAGTATTTTACATTGTTTTATTTTTTATCCCAGTTGAAGTCAGGAAAAGAAGGTCCATGCATTGCATGTGTTTCTAAATCTTCCAACCTGTGGGTTCCCATATCCCCACCCCTTGGCTTAGAATTCATTTGTCTGAAAATGTGACATTTCATACACTTAACGTTTTTTACAAAATTTAGAAAATATTTTCAGTTAATGAAGTGTAGTATAAAAAGCTATGGTAATTATATCAACAAATGTTCCCCTAATTTAAAAATATAATGACCCCTGGCTGCTGTGGCTCAGTGGATTGAGTGCTGGCCTGAGAACCAAAAGGTCAGCAGTTCAATTCCCAGTCAGAGCACATGCCTGAGTTGCCGGCCAGGTCTCAGTCGGGGGCGTGCGAGAGGCAACTGATCCATGTATCTTGTGAGTTGACGTTTCTCTCTTTCCCATCCCCTCTAAAAATAAATAAAAATATAATGGGACTTGTATCCAGGATATATAAAGAACTTTTATAACTTAACAAACACAATCCAATTTACAAAGGAGCAAAGGATTTGAAAAGACATTTTTCCAAAAAAGACACAAATGGCCCATAAGCATATGAAGAGATTCTCCACATCATTCGTAATAGGGAAATGCAAATCAAAACTCCAATAAAATATCAATACCCATTAGGATGGCTTCAACCAAAAGGACCAGACGTGCTGAGGATGTGGACAAACGGACATTTGTGGTCCTGTGAAGTGGTGCAGCCACTTTGGAACGGTTTGGCTGTCTCCAATCATCCAGCTTAGCATGTGACCTGAGGCTGTGAGAGAGTGGAAATGTACGGTCGATTCACATTGCAGCCCCTGCAGACTGGTTTTTGTCTTAGGAATTTGACTGTTTTAGGTACCTCATGTGCAAGGATCACAGTTTTTGTCTTTTTGTGACTAGCTTATTTCCCTTAGCATAATTTCCTCAAGCTTCGTCCTTCAAGCTTCCTATGACAGTTTTACTTCTGTCATATTGTAGCATGTGACAGTAATTTTTTCTTTTTTAGTAATTTCCTTTTAAGGTTGAATAATCCATTGAGTGTATATACATTTTGTTTATTCATTTCTGTGCTAGTGGCCATTTGGCTATGGTGAATAGT